TCTCTAACTTTAGGGGCGACAGTGGCTCAGTTGGTAGAGCATTGGCCTTTAAGCCTGAATGTCGTGGGTTCGAGCCCACCTAACGTGACCTACTTTACGACTCTCACTGATGACTGCTGTCGTTGTGTCCTTGGGCAAGACACTTAACCCCACTTTGCCTGAAGCCCCCGTTGAAAGATCAAGGCTCCTGTGGACTCACCACCTGCAGGAGGATCAGTGAGGTGGTGCTCTCTGTACTGGGTGCAAAAAATGGATGGATGGATGGATCTCTAACTTTAGCATAATAAAGAAGTTTAAAATATCAAACTTTAGCATAATAAAGAAGTATACAATCTCTAACTTTGGCATGATAAAGACGGATAAAATATCTATCTTCAGCATTATAAAGTATTAATATAAGCAGTTATAAAATAATGTATGTTCTAGTGCAAGAAAATGTATAAAATGTATAGTTGTATTTATACATCTGTCAGTAAGCTTGTTGTGCCTTTTCAAAATCAAGGTCAGGTTGAATATAAGTTTTCCGGTGTTTGTGTGGGCTTGGATTTCACACCATTTCATCCAATTTCAAGAGGCGATGTATTGGCACATTCTCAATATCAGCTGCCTGTACTCTGCTCTGTCACTCACATTACCTCCATTGTATCTGCATGGCCTGTTCCTGGTGCTAACACGCTGCTCTCATCCCGTTAGAATAATGTTGTTGTGTAGAGATGACATTGGCAGCTGCATCAGCATTTCTCATTATTCCGCAGAGCGCTGTTTGTCATCTCTCCCTTCTGCACACAGGCCTCGTTTTATGGGAGAACGAATCGATTAGGTTTTTGTAGGCTGCTGTTGCCTTTTTAACATGAGTACGTCTGTGATGTAAGCGTTTATGAGATTACACTATGGTTTCAACAGCATCTCTTACGTTTATTTTCCTACAGTTATACATGTATACAGTAACCACAGTATATGCTCTCGCTTTTTTCATTTGGTTCACCAATAAATTCTAGCCTGTTTGTTCATGGGATTCATTTCCTTCTCTTAATTTGCCCCCAAGGTTTTTCTTTTTTTGAGTTGTTCCAATCCTTGCCAATGCCGGAGGATCTAAGGAGACTGTTGATACGGGACATTTAAGGACATTTATGGACATTTATTGACATTTATGAACATTAGTCATCCCTCTCCCAATTCTTGGGTTTCATATGACGTCAGCGCAGTGGCGCGAATAACAAACGGTACTTGTTGTACCCTGGCGGTGCAGTCTGCCGGGTTTATACACAGAGATATTGTTGAAGAAGAAGCACTGTCAAAATGCCATCTCTTTTTGAGGTGTACGCTTGTAGCAACCGCACAAATAGAAAGACATAAGTTTCTTTTCTGTGTTCCAACTGTGGTCTCATATAAAGGAGTACATTTTTAAAAAATCACTCGAATGGGGCGGGCGAGGTGGATCAAAGCTTTCCCAGATAAGCGCCCCCTGCAGGCTACCCTAATGAAACGCAGCAATTTCTTTTTTTCTTTCCAAAAATGCCCAAAATCAAGACTCTTTTGAGAAATATTTGTTAGTGCTAATTGAGAGTCCCCGATTAAGACTGTTACAAAAACCGTACACCGCACAGGATGAGAGCCTTTTGACTCCAAAACAGACACAATTTAAATGGTTTTCATTGGGAGAAAAACTGAGTTGTCCCACCTCTGCTCATTCGCCCCCTACTGGCCAGTTTAATGAAACCCAAGAACGGACCAATGGCTCTTATGTGTTTGTTTTTATTGCATACTCTTGGTTTGATTCTCTGATCTGTTGTTGGTGTATACATTTAGGGGATTTATGGCTATGCAAAATCAATTGAATGTAATTGCCAAACAGATTGTACTGCTTTTACCCATTTCTGTTCTTAATAACTTTTTTTTGAGAATTCTAACCTTGTTTATTTATGTACTTGTCTGTTGCACACTGGGGACTTTTGCAAAAGTATTCCAATGTGGTTTTACTGCAAAAAAATGAATCTGAAAAGCCATTACACTAAAGGCATAATACATCTTTATACATATGTTTGTGGAGTGAAACATTGAAAACATGGAGCCTTAAGTATCACCTCTGTTTTAATATGAACAACCCTATCTGAGAATTGTGAGAAAAGAATATAGAAACGAATGGTACGCTACTCAACTGAACTTACATTTTGAAAGCTTCAGTCTGGCGAGCAGGTGTGAGAACAAGCTGTAAAATGCAGCCGACATCAGGCATTGTTTGACACCGTGGCATTCTGTTCGGAGAGAGACTTCACCAGATGATTTCTCAGACCGAGAAGTTTACATTTGGAGTAAAGAAAACACGTACAGCTCTGCAAACACCCCAGAGTCAGATCTAAATACATTTGACTTGACTTTGAGCTTCAGTAATGATCGCTGCCCCAGATGGAGGTGGATTACATTACCCCTACTTGTTTTTGCTCCCAAACTCCCAAAAAAAGCAGTCAATTTGACAGCTTTTTGTTTTTTTGGGGGTAATTACTCCATTTATGTACGTTTTTGCTCTTCATAACTTTGTGACTTTTTTCTGTTTCTAAATTTTGTTTATTTATATGTCATTATTGAAATTATCTTGATCTTATTATTATCTTAATCTAGACTTTTTAAGAGCACTCTCAGCTTGGAGCAAGTTCTAATTACCTTAACAACACACTGTTTACTTGCAGCAGTTTGCATTTAGCTTTTAGATTCCCATTCAGATTAATTGTATTTGCCATTTGCAGTAAAACCACATTGGAATATATTTGCAAAAGTCCCCAGTCCCCAAGTACATGAATAAAACAAGGTTTAAAGTACAGAAATAAAACACACCTCCATTTTGATGTATTTCACTTAGATTAGCCAGGTTAAGCATGTATTAAAGATTAAGATAACTAATATTAATTGTTTGTTAATTTGAATAAAAATGGTATAAAAACAAAACTAATGTATTGGTATTTTTTTCACAATTTCCTTGAAGGAGAGCCGGAGTTCTAATAGTTTCAGAATTTTGTCCTTTTTTTGAGTCCTGGAGTTAAACATTTGTAAGAATTTTAGCAACATTTTGTGTGCTTAATCAATCAATAAAATTGTATTTATAAACCGCTTTTCTTTACAGAAGATGCAACACAAAGTGCTTTAACGCTCACGAAATACAATGTTGTAATTATCAAGACATTTTCTGTGGAGTGTACCGGCAAAACTTTAGTTAAGTAAGTTTTAGCCTTTATTATTGTTTGTCACATACACATTACAGGCAGTGAAATTCTTATGTACCTCCAGCAGATGTTTAGTACAGTATTCAGGAACATAAAATAACAGAACTTGTGATGAGATAAATGGGATAAATATCAGTGGTGGTAGCAGTGGTTCTGGTCCGTTTCTTCTTGGTTGTCTTGGTTTCCAGCTTCCCCTGCCTGCTCAGCGTGTGTTTACCACCTAGCATGATTTAAGAGCATGTAATCACTCAAATCAAACTAGAAGAAAATGCTCTCCACTGGGGACCACTTCATCCACCAAAAACAAATATGACAGAAATAAATTAGACCAGAATCCATTGAGCCTTTCAAAAGAAGCTCGGTGCAGTGCGGGGTTTTCAGAGGACAAATCAACTGCGACAAATGGAACAAAGCCTGAGTTTACTCGTGACAGAATTAACAGAAAGAAGAATTATACGCCCCATTCACACCCACTGTGGCGGCGCGGCTCTCGAATCTCCCTCTAAAGTACTTGCACTGGCTGATGTACTCCGCTGCGTTATTTTCCTTCATTTGAAAGATGTAATGAACCAAACCATCACAATTAAGAGCTTGTGTTTGAGAAGAGAAATGTGTGTTTTTAAAGGGGTGCGGTGTCAAGTAATTAACAAGAGAAATCCCACAATTATGAAACTAGTAAAACTCCCTGTAGAGGCGAAGATGTTGCCTATAGATCGCCTCTTGGCTAAGATTTTAAGGGTTTCCCAAACACGTGTCTCCACAAACCACAGTCCAAATAGTGTATTAGAGGTTTCTTTATTGGCCCCTATGACCATTAGTCCACATACAGTAAACATAATACACTCCACAATTGACACCTTAAGAAACGGTTTACCTTCAAACCCAGCAGCACCTGTGCCCTCTAATTCTGCCCTTTTTATAGGAGAATGGGCTCAGGTCACATAACGCCCACAGCGTCATCTTGTGGCTAGGGAAAGGTACATTTTGGCTCCTACACTCCCAGTGCCGTTATTTGTGTCTGCTCCTTTTCAAACCAATTTTTCAAACCAAAAAAAATGGTTGTGGATTTTTTTTCTCAGGTTTCTTACTTTTACTAATTATGCTAAAGATTAAATGCTAACTGATGATTGTAAACTGTGTGTTGCTATAGTAACCAGCACTCATTCTTCAATGGTAGATCTACTCACATTTCCAAACTAAAAGATAATTTCTCAAACAAAATAACACTCATCACTTTTTGCGGTGTATGATCCAATTTAAGGACATTTGTAGACATTTATTGACATTTGGACATCCTGCGGCCTTCGGACCAATGGCATTAGTGTGTTTTGTTATGTGTTATTGTTGCATTCCCTGTGTTCTAACTGTTGGATTGGCTGACTGCATTTCGGCTATGCATAAATGAATGGAATTGTATTGACATTTGAGCGTTGAGTTATGATCACGGAGAAACATCCTGTGGAATAATATCACAAAGATCTCAAGTGCAGGAGTTTTGCACCAAATCGCATTTAAAAGTTACAGGTAAAAGTGACGTTAATAGTTCAAACTATGAGAGCAGCCTTTGCATTTTCAACTTATACAACAAATGTCTTCCTGCCTGACATAAAGGTTATTGGTCTCACATATCATCCAGTTATTACCTCCAACCCAGCTGCGGCCAGATTCCTCATGTGTGCCTTGTGTTATTATGGCTTCTCATAATCCGGGCAAGTTTAATGACTTTGTGGGGTGAGGAGTGCTAAACCTACCTGTGTGTGTGTGTGTGCGTGTGCGCCTCAGGTCCTGTGGGCGGAGCAGCAAGTGGTGAAGACCCGAAAGAAGAGGGACATGTTTGAAGACCCCTCAGACCCAGACTTCCCAAAGCAGTGGTATCTGGTATGTTACTTTAATGCATATTGGTTATTGCTGCAGCTTTGACTGTTCCTTCTGGGCTCCACAGAAACCAACAAAAAGACAAATTTGCACTCAAAATACATCATGGAAATATGTCATTGTTTGCGCTTTATCCACTAAATTAATTCATGTTTGTATTTATCAATGATGAGAGGGTATTGAAAACAGTGAAGGAGAAGGAGAGTCCTGCCCCACACTGAAGTTGCAGCAGGAGTCCAGGGCTCCATGCAGCAGCCTGTGTTACCACAAAAGTCTGTGCATTTTGGAGAAAATTGCAGCGTCCAAACAGTAATTTTACCCGCTGCACTCTGAGGCAATGTCTTATTAGCATTTATTATATGCTGGATCCTGGATATTAAAGTTTGATCACACAACCTGCCATGATCTTGTAACAGATGGGTGGATCTTGTTATACACGGTATAATGAGCCAAATTACATCATATTGAAAGTTGTGTTACTCTGAACACGTTCATATAAGTGCTGTATGTATTCCATTTTCCAGTATTGATTTGGTAAGAGCAAGATCCGCAAGATAATTTGTAGACATTTTATGCAGTCTCTTAGATTTTTCGGTTGTTGTTAGCTGCCTTTATTCATTTACTGACAGTTGTTTTTATTGTGAGGTCTAATTATTGTAATGACTTCTCATATTGGTTTGTTGAACAGCGGATGACACCAAAGGTGCACGCTGACTGCATCAGTTCAGAGATTTCTTCTCCCTAAAGTGTAATTATTTTTGATTTTTCCTTGAAGGCTTTTAAGCCCTGGCAAAGCAGCTTAGCATTCAATACATTTATTTGGACAGACTCGTGAGCTGAGGATGTGGTCATACGACACTAATTCAATCAAACAACTTTTTAATCTTGTTTGGTAATTAACTCTGGATTATGTTAATACTTGTTAATATTACCTTTTCTTCTGTCCAAATCCATGCGATGAATTTCAAACCAGACTGAACAGTGTCTCAACAGTGTTGAGTTTGTTGACTTTTCACTGGTCAGATTCTCATAAAGGTTATTTAAATACACTACAGTTACTACTGTACCTGTATAGTATTGCCTCACAGAAAGAAGGTCCTCTGTTAGATTTTGCCTCCTGACTTTTCTGTGTGGAGTTTGCGTGTTCTCTCCATGTCTTGATGTTTCTTCCAGGTGCTGCAGTTTCCCCTACCACTAAAATATGTACAATAGAAGATACCAGGGTGAATAGGTGCAACTGTGGGACAACGGGCGGAAATTAGTCCAAGGCTTAAAATCGGCTGAAATGAAAAAATACCTTTTCTATGAATATTCACCTCTAACACAATTACCAGGGAAAAGCGTAGATCTGTAGATCTTTTGATGAGACCTAATGATTATTATGATATGATTATGGTTTAACAAAGAGGCCAGGTCCCCATTACTAAAAAACACCTGATCTCAATGTGTTATACTAAACCTCAAAGATGCAATACGAGGTGAAAAAATATTCTGGATAAAATGGGTCTCGTTGGTCCATGTGCATCTCACTGGAGGGCTCTCGGCTATAATCGTCTTCCCTCACAAGTGCGCTGATCTCTTTTCTTGGAGGAAATCATCTTTGCCAAGATTTCAGCAGGTTTGGTGCTCTCAGTGCTGTCTCAGAGTTGGCAGCGCGAAGAAGAATATGAGTGTAATACATCTTCACGGCTTTACAGGGTGCAAAATATCAAAACAAAATAATGACTGTTTGATTTGAGAAGGTGCTTTTTATTTATGGGTTGAGCGTAATGTATGGAGGAAATGTCAGGTTAACATCTGCTTTGTGCTTGCGTTTGCAGTCCGACCCGGCACACCAGGACCTGCATACCAAAGATGCCTGGGCACAGGGCTACACGGGGAGAGGCGTGGTGGTGACGATCCTCGACGACGGAATAGAGAAAGATCACCCAGACCTCATCAATAATTATGTAAGATTATAAATATATGAAGTGTAAGAACCAAAAACTGTAAATAATGAAAGAGAGTTACTCCTACACAGACTTCACGGACTGTATGTAATATGCACTCTGAATGAATGAATGAATGTTTTTATTTTGGACGTTTCAAAATGAGAAAACAAAACAAAAGCAATGTAATTCTACATTGACTAAGCGAACAAACAAATGATGTCCAAAATAGGAGTGGGAGGAAGTTTTAAAAAAACTTGTGTAATCCCACCCCTACTTACAACTCTGAATTTACAAATCAAAAAAAATCTCCCTTTACCAAATGCAATCTAGCGCTTGGAAGTTTTTAGCATGCTTCACGAACATATTTATTAAAAATAACTTCTTTGTATCTTTTTTTAAACTCAAATAATGTTTGACATTTTTTAAGTTCCGCATCCAATTCATTCCATTTTTTTACTCCACTGACGGTAACACAAAAGCTTTTTAATGTGGTGCGGACCTTTTTAAATTGGAAAAAAAACAATCCTCTTAAATTATAATTTGTTTCTCTTTCAATAAACATATTCTGTATGTGTGCAGGCAGCTGTTTATTTCTAGCTCTAAATAAAATTAGAAGTGTTTGTAAATCAATCAGGTCATGAATCTTTATTATTTTTGACTGAATGAATAATGGGTTTGTGTGATCTCTGTATCCAGCTTTATTGATGATTCTTATTACCTTTTTTTGCAGTTTGATGAGTGGATTTAGCGTGGTTTTGTAGATGTTGCCCCAGATCTCAGCACAGTAACTAAAATATGGTGAAATTAGTGAATGGTATAATGTGTGTAGCGATTTTTTATCCAATATATCCTTTGCTTTGTATAAGATTGCAATACTTTTTGCTATTTTCTTTTGTATATATGTTACGTGACTCTTCCAGTTTAACTTATCATCAATTATGACTCCCAGAAACTTGTTATCTGTTACTCTTTCAATTTCAACACCTTCTATTTTAATTGTTACTTTTTCCTTATCTTTAAAATTTCCAAAAAACATAATTTTAGTTTTGGTCAAATTTAATGACAATTTATTTTGAGCAAACCATCTTTTTAACTTGCTCATTTCTGTTTCTATCTGAGTTGTGAGTTTGCTTATATTGTGACTTGCACAAAACAAATTTGTGTCATCAGCGAAGAGCACAGTTTTGAAAATTTGCGACACCTTGCACAACTCATTAATATATATAATAAATAGCTTTGGACCCACTACTGCCCCCTGGGGGATACCGCATACAACATCCAAATATGGAGAACTGACATTGTCAAGCTTCACAAACTGTTTCCTATTTTTTAAATAACTTTTTATCCATTCTAATGCAATACCCCTTATCCCATATTTCTCTAACTTATCTATTAATATAGTATGATTTATTGTATCAAATGCCTTTTTTAGGTCTATAAAAAGCCCAGCCGTTATTTTACCTTCATCTAAGAAATTTGTGATTTCTTCAACAGACTCCATCAATGCAAGTGATGTAGACCGTTTTGCCCTGAAACCATATTGACTGTCATGCAGTAGGTTATACTTGTCCACAAATTTATCTAATCTATTACTGTAAAGTTTTTCTAATATTTTAGAGAATTGCGGTAGTAAGGACACAGGTCTATAGTTAGTAAAATGATGCTTATTTCCAGTTTTGAATAGTGGTATCACTTTTGCTATCTTCATACTGTTTGGAACTGTACCTGTACTGAATGATAAATTGAAGATGTGTAATAATGGTTTTGAAATGTAATTAATTACTTCTTTTATCAAGGCCATGTTCAGATCATTATAATCACTTGATTTCTTACTTTTAAATTGTCTGACTACTCCTATAATTTCAGTTTCATCCACTGGCTGTAGAAACATGGAATGAGGATTAGTTTCTATTAGCTGTCCCCAAGGAGTTTCTCCCATGTGTTGTTCAGGGATTTTAGCGGCTAAGTCAGGCCCAACATTAGCAAAGAATGTATTGAACTTGTGAGCTGCATCTTCCCTACTGCAAATTTCTTGATTATTTTCTAGGAAATGCCTTGGGTAGTTATTATGATTGCAATTGCCTTTTATAATTTCATTTAGTGTTTTCCATATCCCCTTCATATTACCTTTGTTATTTTCTATTAGCTTTCTATAATATTCTTTCTTATGATTTCTCATTATGCTTGTTAGTTTATTCTTATATTGCTTGTACCTTATCTCTGCATCTCTATTCCGAGATGCAGAGATATGCACTCTATATGCACTCTATATGAAATGCGTGGTGCTTTTTCTTTGTGAATTTCGTTATAAAGACAAAAAGATGGGACTTAGACTAGTTAAGTTCCACCATGCGAACTGGCAACCCAAATGAGAGCCTCTTTTTGCACTCCGATCTGACATACTGCTTGAAAACTGATTTTTACATAGTTTAGGAAGGTCTTCTTAGTAGGTTATGTTATTTGGTTGTTCCATACCAGACGATTGTAACACAACCAAATAACTTACATACATTTAAAAGCTGTAGCTGTTACTTTAAATCAAAAAATATTACATTCTGTCCCCTTAAATATGCTGAAAAAATTCTCTATGAAGATGTTCTCTAAGGCCATCACTTTGTTTTGGTCAATTTTATTTTAAACAGCTCATATATTATTCACTGACAACCAGGATCTACATAACGCATCTATTCATGGAGAGAAAAATTGGCCAACGAAACAATTATCAAAATAATTGTTAATTACATCCCTAAATGAGAGTCTTAAAGTGTTAGAGTAGATTCACATAGGATGGATGTAATATGGTATAAATATTAGTATTGGTTTTTACAGTTTTTTTGTAGGATGGCAAAACCTTGAACCCAAAGTCAATGGCAGTAATTCATTGTGTGTTCCTTCCAGGACCCTGAGGCAAGTTATGACGTTAACGACGGAGACAGTGACCCTCAGCCGCGGTACACGCAGCGAAACGAGAACAGGTAAATGCCAAATGAACGTCGAGACTGTGCCATCACGAGATTCCTTTTTAGTACTGTATTTTGAGCACATTTTTATGGCGCTTTCAAACCCAGCACAGACACACACTCACGCTCCTCTGTGTGCTTCAAATATACAGTATTCTCCGATGCATTTGTGAGAAAGAAGAGCCTTTTTTAACCCACAATGGGGGATATAATGCATACCAGGGCAGCAATAAAGGGTTTTGAAAAGATCCACATTAATAGTCATATTTGTATCCTCACTGAAGCTCGGAGAACTCTCTAGGAATTAAATCTCTTATGGTTCCCTTGTCCCATATTCTCTTTTCTATCAGTACTATTGCTATTGGACTCAAATGCTTTGGTTATACACTTTATCATTTTGTCTGTTTGTGTTATACTGAAAAAGCAGTAATGCATTGTCATAGCTCAATGTCATGACTCATAAGGCAGGAATGCAAAATATGAGAGAGAGACAGAGAGAGGGGGAGAGACAGATAGAGGGATTGGGGAGAGAGAGACTGAGAGATATATAGAGAGAGACAGAGAGTGAGACGGAGAGTGAGACAGAGAGTGAGACGGAGAGTGAGACGGAGAGAGAGACAAAGAGAGAGAAAGAAACCGAGAGACAGAGAGAGAGACAGAAACCGAGAGACGGAGAGAGAGACAGCGAGGGAGAGAGATGGCGAGAGAGAAAGAAACAGAGACAGAGACAGAGAGAAAGACAGAGATGGAGAGAGATAGACGGAGAGACAGACAGAAAGAGAGAAAGAGACAGACGGTAAGAGAGAGAGAGACACAGACAGAGAGGGAGACGGAGAGGGAGATAGCCAAAATATGACCTTAGTACCAAATGACAAAAACCCACACCACTAGGCAACATTCTATGCATTGCCAAAAAAGTTTACTTCTTTCAGTAAAAAGCGCATTTGTGTCAAAGAATCAGTGTTATTTGTTTTCAGCTTAGTCGTTGACCGGCCGCTATTGTGACTTGTTTATTACTGGAGGACCAAGCATTAGGCTCCGGTCCCTCAGGCTCCGGTCCCTTCGCCCCAATCCCCGCCGTAGCGCTCGACAAGCCCCTGTCGTCCTCTGATATGCACTGTCGGATTTTTCTGAAATCTCCCTTCTTCTCTGGGACGCCTGCCAAGTCTTTTTTTGTACTTTTTAGTTTGTTTGTTATTCTTGTTTATCTCAGCTTCAAAGCGTCACATCCACATGGAATTGGGTTGGGAAGGGCGACGAGGCAAAGAAGCTTAGCGCGTTTTCTTGGGGATTGAAAGGATGGATTTGTGTCTGGGTTTTGAACATGGACATTGTTAATCCAAAGTGCAGCTCTATAGTGTCTATTGAGAGGTTTTTTTTCTTTTCTGTCCCTTGTTGAATGTTGACGCTTTCCTCACTGGCCTTTTATTATTGCAATGAAAAGTGTTGGGCGTCAGCAACTTTTCGTACATAAGCCTTGGTTTAATGTGAAGCAGTGCAGAGCGACCCCAAAGCCCCTTTCTGTCAAAGCAAAGAAGATCCCACTCTGTCCCAGCGACGGAACAGACTCGTCTCCTTTTGTATCGAGTGCTATCACAGCAAAAAATGCAATACTCAAATGGCCTTTTCGAGCACATGCGTCATTCAGTGTGTTTGCTCTTGGTGAAAATCTCATTATTAGCGAGCGCTTGTTTTCTCTGAAGGATGCGGAAAAAATAGCATCTATAATCATTGTAATTTAAAAGAACAGTGGGAAGTTTTGGCTTTAACTGGTTTCATAACGTTACAAATACAACCTAAACCATTGTTGCCAGCGTCTTCAATACTAATGAAAGACTCGTGTATTGCTAATTGTGCTTTCTCGTTGGATAAAAAGCAAGAGAAAAAAAAAAAGTATGTATAATTTTCATACCTGTTGGATATCAAGCCTTTTGATCAGAAAGGCCTGTGTATGATTTGTATTATCGATATTTTAAATGCAATTCTTATACACTGACCCTTTAAGGACCCTTTGGAAAATAAACAAGCGGTAATCCATCGTGAATAATTTAATCGATAATAATGAACCCCTCAGATCAATACAAACCATATTTCAATTGGTCTCAAAGCGGCATTGGCTCAGTGGGTAGGGAATTGGTCGTGGGTTCAATTCCCCCACCTCTCCGTGCCTTCGTTGACAGAGCAGCAACCTTGAACAACCTTCAGGACGATCAGTGAGGGGCCCCCGATGATCTATGGACTAGTGTGTGTTTGAGCTTGTATTGCCGTGTGTATGGACGCCACTTCATATCGCTTATGTTATTGTTTGACTGTGTTTCCTGCATTTTTCCAACTTTTTCTTAAGTGTCCTTTAGTGTCCAAAAAAAAAACGCTAGTTAAGTGTCTTTGAGTGTCCAAAAAAAACGCTATAGAGGTATGATGTATGATGTATTATTATTATTATTATTATTATGGATTTTATTTTTTGTTTTATTTATGGAGTTAAGTGTTTAAAGGCCCTTTGCTGCTCAAATGAATTGCTCCTGGTGGGATAAACAAAGTAGTCTGAATCTGAATCTTTTAACCTACTGGAAAACAAATAAAAAATCTTGCAAGCAGGCTTTCATCTCCACGACCCTAAGAGGAACATTGAGTGGGGCCGATGCTCCGCTTGTGCATAAACCAATCTCATTTTGTGACCGAAGAAACCGTGCTATTAAATGGGATTACTCCTGCTTCCATGTTATTAGAGGAAAGCCCATTTAAAACCACAACAAGCGAGCAGTCATTTCACCACACGGGTCAATGTTACCTCCTCAGCACTTCTATAAATCACGGGGTCAGAACCACACCGATGACCTGTGGACAAACTCCACCCTCTGTAAATCATAGTCGGGCATTATGATCTGGCAGTAAATAATTCAGTCTTCACATTGAGAATATAGATATGTATTCACGTCAGCAATTTGTGAAGGGGAGGTCATTTTCACAGAAAGGGCTCTTCATCTGCTTCAGTGACAGCCACGACTCATTTTAATCAACACATTCCAATACGAGCCATCATCTTATGCTGAAGATTGGTATTCGTCTGTTGAAGAGGCTACAAGGCCAAGTGAGAAATCCATTTGTGCTCAATCAAGGGAGATTGTTTTTTCTATTTTTTTTGCTTTCCCTTTTTGCCTGCTAACACTTATTTTCCTGTGTGTCAGTCTAAGATGGATGTTGTGCATAGGGAGGGTGCAAAGGACAGACCAGATTGATTTCAGATCCTTTGTAGAGGTCTAAAAGAGGGACGCAGACGAAACCATTACTCAGACCGTACGTCCAGGAGTCATAATTATGGCAATATGTCTTTCATAGATTAAGACAATGTGACAACCTGTTTTTTATTGGTAGACATACTGTTTACATTGAACCCTCAATAGCAACAGATGCAAACTTTGTCCCTGAAGAGATAGAAAGCTGTTGGGAGAGTGCTACTTTTGTGGTAGTGGCTTCTTGTGTCTGGGACTGGCCTGGGTTGTGGCGCTGGGTCTTTTTTGGCACAGTGATAATTTTGCAGATTCAGTATTTTAAAGTATTATAAAGTTATTATTATTCAATGCTAAATAACAACATGATTGCATGTTTTTGAATTATGTTCATGGGGTGGAAGTCTACAAGTTTTTACACCTTTTCCACGTCATTTTGAGCTGACAAAGTGTAAATCGAAATGCATTTGTAAATACATACATGGTGAAACTAGGAAAATGTTATGAAAATGTTAACGTGTATATAGTTTATACTGTAAGCACAGTAGGTAACATGTACAAAAGGTCATGTAAAATAAGGAATGTAAATATTGTAAATACTTAAAGGCTGCTCGAATGAATTCAATCAATCAGTTGGTGAAGCCACAGCGAGGCAACCAGTATGTGCCTTCGTCCTCTCCGACCACCACTAAACATTCACTCAAACACACACCAGACTCATTCTCTGTGTTCCCAGAGGTCTCCCATCATAGTACTAATCAGGCCCTGCCTTGCTGCTCTCCCTCACTCTGCTTGAGCAACCCTAGAAATGGGCTGCCCAGCCCTTGCTAGTGTACAGATTTTCAGCTTGTGAAACTGGGAAACCGCAGCACCTAGAGGAAACCTGCTGGTGTCTCCCCTGCATACGGGGGGGCACATGCAAACTCCACACATAAAGTTGAGCGTAGCTTCTGAGAGGCAACAACTCACCACTGCGGAAGTGCAGAACAAGTGATGAACACAGATAGAATCTTCTTAACCCAAGGGGACGGTTCGAAATTAATTCATTTAATTTCACATTGAATTGATTGCTGTCTATCTCCAAATTGGTATTGACATAGCATCCATTATTTTTTCAATTCTCAGCACAGAGGTCCATTATGGTCCTCTGAGCTGTCCTTGGAGATGAGATTTCTTATTGACTTGATTTATTAACAATGATTGGCTATAGCTCTTTGTCAGGCCTTCATTTTAAAACGGCTTCATCAGTCCCGGAATACTGAAATATGTCACTTTGAGGCAGAGAGAGAAGAGGGAGAGAAGGCTGCGTTGTTTGTGGTTAATCTAGTTGATGGCATTGAGGATGACCATGGCGGCTATTGGTAAAGCATCTCTCACTCGGTCTGTTGCATTGCCCTTGATAGCAAACAGCCTACTGTTTAGCACAAGTGCCTCCTCAGCAGAAATGCTTTACACTGCATAGTAAATAGTGACAAGGGTGTGTCACCAAAACCCGTACAAACAGGCCACACAGATTATCTCCGGGTGTTGGGTCCGGCTTTTCTCAAGCTCTGTGCATACATCACAGTCCACCACACTGTAGAAGGCTTATTCCAGAAGAACCCCGTTACAGCTGCTCCCTCCTCCCCATAGGTGGGAATTTGGAGCCAAATTATTGGATAGCAACTGCCTAGCAACCAAAAATCCAATCAACAGTGTTGGTGGTCTGTTAAGCGCTTGTGCTTATTACTAGCTGAAGCTGAATTTGGAATTGACAGCAGCTCATTGGTTAATTATTAGTGGTCA